GCTCTTGTAATTTTACCTAAATTATAAAAAGATTAACCAAGTTAATTAGAAATAATTCATTGATAAGGTTGAAAGAATTGATAAAATCTTTATTTCATTTGTAAATACTGTTCCAAATCTTCACTGTGATAAGTTTCCTTATTTTTAAATTCACACACACACACACACATATATATATATATATATAGGATAAGGATCATTTTACACCAGTGTAAGTTACACTCTTAATCTTGTCCATTGATCTCATTTATATTTAAGGGCTCAAATTTTTTAGTAACGTGAGCCATTGGATACAAGTTGATCAATGGTCAAGATTGAGTGTAAGACTTCTAACTCTTACACCGGTGTAAGAATATCCTGCCCCATATATATATATATATATTGCTCACAAAAATGAAAATGAACAGCACTAAAAAATAATAATGAAAAGGGGAATGAAAAACATATATATCTCCCAATACGAAATTCATTCGTCTCTTTCAAGAGGAGAAACTAGGATTTATAAATGATGCTTCAGTAGAGCTCTTCTCTATTTTTTGTGTTTTCAACTTATTTTTTTGGATGGAACTGCCTATTGTCTCTCATCTTTTACTTCATTCAAGGCTTGGCTGCACGATCTTTTTAGAGAAATATTTTTCTCATGTTACATAAAAAAGCTTTTCTTATGTTACACATTTATCGAAATCCGAGCTAACATTTTTTTTTTTGTTTTAATTGTGAAATTCACTTAATTATGTCTCTAAATGAGATAATATTATTTCATAAAACATGAGAAAAACATACCACATCTTTTTATTTTCAATGCCGTAATAAGTTGGTAATGAATCTCGCATAGCATTACGATTAACTGCATTCGAATTTTTTTTTTTTAAAATACATTAAAATAAAATATCTTTTGATCAAATTATGTACAACGGTCAAAGATCATGATAGTGAAATCAATTTTTTTTTTTGTAAAATTCAATAACAATCAAATTACTTTTTTTTTTTACTTAATCTTAATTTGATTTCGGTAATATTACATATGGAAAATATATTTATTATATGAGTTTAGTGTTTATTCTTTTAAAGAACATAAAGTTATGTCATTTTAAGTGAAAAAATACAAGTAATAAAAATTATGAAAAAGAAAGTGAGTGATTTTTTAAATGTAAAATTTAAATAAAAAAATACTAGGTTATGTTTTCCTCTCACTTAAAATAACACAACTACATATCCTTTAAAAGAACGAATATTTTTCCCTTCTTATATTATATCATATAATTTTAAATTTGTCTAATACACACATACAAAAAATGAGTATGATTCATTTTTTTCTCTTCGTTTTAGTGGATCTTTTTTTTTTTTGTTGTTGCATGAATTAAAATTAATTCGTGTAACAAGATAAATATATTCTCCATTAAATATAAGGAAATATAACTATAATGTTGCACGACAAAAATAGTGTTTCCTACTTACCCTTCAAGAAGTGCACTGCAAACTTTTTTCTCTCTCTCCTTCTTCTCCTTGCATAAAAGTCATATTCCCCTCAAATATACATCCAAAAATGTATACGTATCTTTTAAGAGGAAAGTTATACTTACAACCTATTTTTATTTACAATTATAATCTTAACCGTTGATTTCCGTAAATCAATGGTTATTATTTTAGTAAATTAAATTTATTAATCAATTATTAATTCGCAATAAATGATAACCGTTGATTGACGGAAATCAACGGTTAAGATTATGGTTATAAAAAGTTGTAAACAAAAATAGGTTGTAAGTATAATTTTCCTCGTCTTTTAATTAGATTATATTTATCATTTACAAGTTACGTTAATGATATTTTTTTCTTTTTACATAAACTTCATAAAATCAAAATACCTTGACAAATTACTTCTCTAATATTCATTCTTTGTGGTCTACTCCCACTTACGTGCACTCGTGAAAACTTTGTGGTGGTGAAATATCAAAGGCACATTTTACATTAATTTAATTCTCAGTAAGATTTATGTTATCTATTAACCTCAAATCTATATAAATCAGATCCTTTTATTAATTTATGGGGAATAGATTTCTCTGTTGCACGAGAAATCTATCTTCTATTAACAAAAAATAATATGTGAATTTCACTTTTTTTTTTCTCTTATTTTATGTCCGTGGAAGATAGATTTTTCCTCGACAAAAGAAATCTATTCCGCTTAATTTATATATGTAGCTTATTAATTTCATGTTAAAAGAAATAATTTATTTTATGTCATTGAGACAAAATATATGAGACCCACTGTTTATAAATAAAAAAAAAAACTAAAGGGAATCACATTTTTATTTGTAAGAGAGAGAGAATATTTTCTCCAATAACATGAGAACATATTTTTTCTTTATATATAGCTCAAAAATAAAAGAGTGTTGCATTAGCACAATAATATAATTATCCTTCTTGCATAAGATCTACCTACTGCGACACACACTAATTCACCTTGTAGTTATAATTAATACTGGTTTGGCATTGTAGGTGCATGCACAAATGTTTTAATTTGATTTTATAACAGTAAAACATTTTACATATTTTTAATCATATATTATCATTATTATGATTGAAAATATCTTACTTTGTTTTTTTGGTAAACAATATCTTACTTTTTAAATATGCTTTGTTATAAACAAATTATTAAAGAATGTCTCAACAAATATTTTAATAATAATTTTAAACTTTTTAACACAATAAATCAAGAGAGAATTTTGATAATACTTTATTACCGTCTTAAACTTCAATTAGAACTACAATAACTTGATTACTTAATATCAATTTGTATCTTCGAATTAATTCATGAAGTCCCATTCAACTAATCTTTAAAGGGATACACATTAAGGACTGATTCGATGCATATAATAATTATAATATCATGTTATTATTCATTGTCACCGCCATCATGCACCACCATTATCATTGGTCAACTATCGCCATCGTGACGTAGGTTCTTGAAACAAAAATTTCATTGATTTTCAGCCAATAACAAATCTCTTGGTATATATATATATATATATATATATATATATATATATATATATATATATATATATATAGAGTTAGAATCATTTTACACCAGTGTAAGTTATACTCTTAATCTTGTCCGTTGATCCTATTTATATCTAAGGGCTCTAATTTTTTAGTAATGTGAACCATTGGATACAAGTGGATCAATGGTCAAGATTGAGTGTAAGACTTCTAACTCTTACACCGGTATAAGAATATTCTGCCCTATATATATATATATATATATATATATATATATATATATATATATATATATGGTATGCTTGACATGGTTTAAAATTGATTTTATTTATTAAATAAATTAACTTGAACTTCATCCAAATTTAATTATTTTATGTAGTATGTTGCCGAGAATTAATTTTTTTTTGTGATGTTATTTAAATTAATTTTTTCATGTTACATAATAAAATATTGACAAGCAATTTAAAATTTACTTTTGAAAATTTATCCATTGAAGATATATTTTAATCGATATTTTATTTAAAATTATTATTTTTATTTTTTTAAAACTTAAAATAGAAACTAATTTAAAAGTTTTTTAAAATAAATTTTAAAAAATAATATAAAATTATTTATAACAACTTTTTTATTTATTTATATAATATACCAAATACCAAAACTATCTGATTTAGATTAAATACATGATAAAATAATGTAATCCTATAATATTATTTATTAAGTGCGCATCAAATACTATAATATTATTATTTTGATATCATTTATAAATTAAATACCAACGTAATATAAATTTAATGATTAAAATAAATATTTACTTTAATCTAAAAATTATTAAATTGTTTATTATTTGATTACCTATAATCTATTACTTTTTTATCCAGCGATGACCTTAAATTTAAAATTCATTTGATTAAAATACATAACATATCTCCTTAACTACTAAGCCAAATCGATTTAAGGCCTAGTTAAACTAACCAAGCATTCATAATTTTTTAATACAAAACAAATCAGATCTACGGGACCAATATGGTTAAATTTGTTATACTTGATCTTATTCAATAAACAAATTAATTTATAATAAATTGTCTAAATGATGTGACAGTAAAGTACAACGACGTTTACCGAAAATAAAAAGTATACGAAGTTTTGTTTTTGGATAAAAGAACATAACACATAAGAACTGATCATTTTGTCACATTTCAGTAAATTATTTATCAAATTAAATTGTCACGTTAACAATAAATTTTTTTGAAATGTCACGCGGCATAATTTGTCACACTGTGCAGTGAAATATGTTTGCAAATAATTCGCTATATAATGTAGCGAATTATGCCATGTTAAGCTAATGAATCAGCAAAAATGACACGTGTCAAGCAGGCAATAATTTGCTACACTGTGTAGCGAATTATGCTTGTATTACTACCTGCTTGACACGTGTCATTGCTGCTGAATGTGCAGCCTGACATGGCATAATTCGCTACACTATGTAGCGAATTATTTGCAAATATATTTCGTTGCACAGTGTAGCGAATTATGTCGCGTGGCATTTTAGAAATTTTTACTATTGACATAATAGTCTGGTAAATAATTTGGTCAAGCGTGACAAAATGATCAGTGTTCCCATGACAGAGCTAATAATGCGGAGTCCTTAAAATAGTTATCATAACTCCGTTTTACGCGTAAATATCTCAATAGATTATTTGGTGATATCTTATAATAGTGAGGATGATAACAAAATGAAGAGAGTTTTATGTACAAAAAAAAACAAAAATAAAAATGAAGAGAGTTTAGTTTCAATAAATTTCTTTAATTAAACCCTTAAACTAAAAGGCGTAGGGTAGGCCACCCTTAACTTTTGGGAATTGGAAAAGGGTCAAGGCATGCAATGCAACAGAGGCATATCCTGAACCATTCATAATGGCACTCTCTTTCTGACCCCAACTTTTATATGATATCTTTACACTTTGTGTGCCACTTTTTTTTATTTATGTGGGACTCAAGGCACTAACAGTAGTAAGTAACACGAGGAGGTGCAAAACGCAGCATAAAAAGCAAGAGGAACACTTGGTATTCTAACACCACCACCACCACCTCACGACGGTTTCTCTTCTATTTCATTTTCAACCACCTTGGGCTGGGCCTTGCATGGCTTGTCTGGGCCGCCACCACAACAGCTGGGCCGTTCTCCCCAACATGGTCTCCGAACGTTTCCCTCTCTCCGCCACCGGCAACCGCCTCCAAGACGACGATGCCGAACCCAAGTGTTGCCCCTCTCTCTCCTCCTCCGCCTATCGCCTCGAGAAAGTTTTCCCCGTTTACGCCATGGGCATCCCCGACCCGGACCCCGATCCTGGATCCGTTCTGGACGGTTCTGACCCGATTTGGGATGCTGTCAGAGAGGAAGCTAAGCTCGAGGTGCGTGAGTTTTATTTTTCTTCTCTCTATCGGTTTCCAATTCAAACCGTTTATTTAGAATTAAGAAAAAAACATATTAAATGTTGGTTAATTTGACATTGAATTTGGATTTGATTTGTAAGTTTGTAAAGTGATTGTGGCTGATTACTGATAAGGATTGTTGTTGATGATGATGGGTTTTACTACTACTGTGCAGGCAGAAAAGGAACCAGTTTTGAGTATCTTCTTGTATGCTAGTATTTTATCACATGATTGCTTGGAGCAGGCATTGGCGTTTGTTGTTGCCAACCGTCTCCAAAATCCTACTCTTTTGGCAACTCAACTGATAGATATATTTTGTAATGTGATTATGCATGACAAAGGTATCCAGAGATCCATTCGCCTTGATGTCCAGGTAATTGGTTTTCCTTCTTGTTATTAAAGTGTTTGGGTGATTCTTGTGTTTGTGTGTGTAGTGATCTTATTTGATTATTATGTGGTACCATTTTTCTGAACAGGCATTTAAAGATCGGGACCCTGCTTGTTTGTCATATTGCTCGGCACTTTTGTATATGAAGGTAAATCTTTGTGACTTTCCATCGAGTTTCTAGCTGTATGTACTAGTCCTTACTGGTTTGTGTAAGAGAATAGTATAAACCATTAAAAAGCCCTCACCCATCAGCTTAAGCTTTTGGGGTGAATGAGTTCTTTTCATGGTATCAGAGCCTAAGTGACTAATTGAGTTCGATCCTTACTGCCCTCCATTTTCTAGTGGAATTAAAATAAGCACAAGGTAAACCAAAAATTGGGCCTATGTAATATTCACGCTTTAAACCCAAAGGGCTCTTACTTGAGGGGGTGTGTGAGAAAATAATATAAACCATCAAAAAGGCCGTCACCTAACACCTTAAGGTTTTGGGTTGAATTGATTTTTTACAGTTTGTACGATTCTGCTATGGCTGTGAATTCTTTTTGGTTCTAATGCATTATTTCCATGATTAAGCATTACTATGTTTTCATAATTCAAATAATTAAGCATTGGGAGATGGGTTGGGATTTAATTAACCCCTCAATCTCCTTGAAAATGAAGATTAGGAATGAAAACATTTTAATGATACCAGGTTGCCCTTTATCCATACATATGTTTATTAATTATTAGACATAAGCGACATCTTTCTACTACCTAACTACATTCATGGGGTAAGAGTGCTGCTAGCTACTGTTTCACAGTTTCAGCATCATCTGATGGTACTAACTTGTGTGTTCGATTCAATTTACTTGCTTGGATATCATGGTGTTCTTGTTGTAACATTTGGAACATTTTATTCCAGATTTTGTGTTCCCCCATCAACATATCCCTTTCATTCATAAGACTCATTTGTGACATCTAGTGCTATGCTCTGTCAACAGGGTTACCATTCTCTGCAAGTATATCGAGTAGCCCATGCATTGTGGCACCAGGGACGCAGAGTCTTGGCCTTGGCTTTGCAGAGCCGTGTTAGTGAGGTAGTTTTCTAGTTGGTCAAACTTGATGAATCCCATAAATATAAGGTAATTGTATATTTCTTTTGCTGATAATCCAAGCCCTTATCTTTTCCTGAACAGGTTTTTGGAGTTGACATTCATCCTGGTATGTTGGTTTCATCTTTGCTTGCAAATATATAATAACTTAAGTAAGAGCAAGTTGACATTCTTTACGTGTGAGGGGATAATATTGTTTTGGGAAATGTCAGGAAAACCAATTGATTTAGTGTTGTAAATTTCTATCAGAAGAGAAGCAATATTGTGTTGCAAATGGATTCATGTTGTGCCTGCCAACTTATTTTTCTGAATAAAGGAGAACGAAATTAATGAAGCAGAAGGTATTCTTGAGGGTTCAATCTTTAATTATTGGAAGCATGTAGATAATTGATTTCCTTACTTTTTATTCCAAGTAAGACAACTGATATCTCAGGTTTTGTCTTGAAGGATGTTTGTCTCTCTATCGAAGATTTGAAAGCTCTTTTGTCTTTTGTTATTACTATTATTGGACTTTATGTTTTAATGGTTTTTGATATAGCTGCGAAAATTGGGGAGGGAATTTTATTAGATCATGGGACAGGCGTGGTTATTGGTGAAACTGCAATTATTGGAAACAGAGTTTCATTGATGCATGTGAGTGTGTTTTTTCAGTAATTTCCTTTATGATTATTTTAGTCTAGTTCTTTTACAATCTTTGAGTGCAAGCATAAAGCTGCTCCTCTGTGATTGAGAGGTCACGGGCTCGAATCCCGTTAACAGCTTTTTTGCAAATATGCAAGGGTAAGACTTCATGCAAGATTGCAAGGATTATCCTCACCCCTATTCTTACTAGTCAGGTTTAATGGGGAGTGATTTTTTAGTTTTTTTTTTCCTTTTACAAACTTTAATTATATCAATTTAATATTGTTTTTATAATTTCCTAAATTGTGTCAAGGAAACAAGTTTGACTCTTGCATTAGACGAAAGGAGATGAATTATTCGAAATAAATTTGTTTTCAACTGCTTTATATTTTCTAGAGACTGACAGTAATAGCAAACAGCTTTTTGGTGTTTACTGAACGAGCTTCCGTTAATATAATTATCCCGGAAACAGTTCTTGAAAGTTTTCAGATTTACTTCTATTTTGTTTGTTTCTAAGAAGAGAAAAAAATTTAAGAAATTGGTGTATCAGATATTATTATTATTATAGATTTAGGATTAGAGCTATTTTTTAGCAAATGCTATTTAAACAGACATTCATTATGCTCTTTACATGATATATTTGCTTTGACAGGGTGTAACATTAGGAGGCACGGGGAAGGAAATAGGTGATCGCCATCCCAAAGTAGGTGACGGCGCACTAATTGGAGCTAGTGCAACTATACTTGGGAATATAAGAATCGGTAAAGGTACGATGATAGCTGCTGGCTCCCTTGTGTTAAAGGATGTCCCTCCCCACAGGTATAAATGGATATCTTTTAAACAATGTTTAGTACTTGCAGATTCTATCTGATTTGTTTTGTAATAAAAGGTGATGTTTCTTTTATTGTTTTACTTGCTTTGTTTTAAAGCATTGTCGCAGGAATACCAGCAAACGTTATTGGAGGTCTACAGGAGCATGATCCATCTTTAACCATGAAGCATGGTAAGCAGCCCTTGGAGCATGCCTTATCATTGAGTATTACTTGGTTCTCTCTCTCTCTTTGGGGTAAAGATAATGTGCCAAGCCCTACACAAATTATTCTCTCTTTCTGTTTTTTTTGGCTATTATTACTAATTGGCCAAAAGTTGTTGACAGAAATTATACTTACATGTGACATTCTTATGGAATTTATAATTACATATATGTATGATACATGCAGGCTGCTTAAGTCTAGCATAGCAGTTCCTTTCTGGAGGAACTATAGGAGTAGGATTCTCTTTAATCCAATCATTGGAGTAGTTAGTTACTTATTTTCAGTACCTGTGTTACTTATTAAAATATGTTATGAAATTAAATTTTAATTCTTTATTATCTGAAATCCACCAACAATGAAACCGCTCTGAATCATATAGAATGCCGGTTTATAATGCATATTGATTATCCTGCTCTGGTTTCTATGGCACTTTTAAATTATCTTGTATGCTCTTGGTAACTTCTGTAGCAGAATTGTTGTAAAATATCACATACATTTCAGTGTACCTTACATCTCACATAATTTTTGTTGCTGTGATTGTGCAGATGCTACAAAAGATTTTTTCACACATGTAGCTGCTAACTGTACAAATGAAAAGCCCACAGGTTAGCTTTCTTCTTGTCTTTTCCTCCTGTTTGAATTTGACAAAAATTTTCACCAGACTAAATATTTCAATGCTTAAAATTATAGTCCTGACCATGCCCTTGGTGTTCGTCTTACACTGTTTAACTACCAAGGTTTTATTTTTTTCCCTTCTCTTATCTGTCAAATATTTGAAAATGTTTCAGGAGTTCAGAATCCAGATCGAAATGAAATGAACACTTGAGAGGTTCGGTAGAGTAGATCTCATTTGGCATTCATTTCCTTCAATGGAAGGATGATGTTATAGTTAATGTTAGAATCAGGGTCAGTTCAAATGTTAACATGCATCTCGAATATCAATAGTATTTTCAATTTTTCATAATTGTAATTTATGCTGCTGAGTGCCGAGGTTCTTGCATCAGTATTGCGAATTTCTGTATAGACAAATTTAAAAGCAGATGTTATTTGTCTCTAGCTGCTGCTTCTTCCTCTTCTTTCCCTGTGACATTGTTTTGGGAGGATATCCGATTTAGTGCTTGTTTGGATACAAGCACATGGACATTTGCGGTAAAAGAAGATTGGTTTATACAGTAACATGTGCTGATTGTGTAAAATTTTGCTTTCTCAACATTATTATGGTAAGGTGAATTGATTTGAGAGAAATGAAAATTTAAAATGTTTTCTTGATTAGAATTAATTCTAAGTTTGAGACATACAAAAAGCATGTTTATATTTACACTTTAAAAATAATTTTACTTTATCATCTAAATAAATTTAATTTTAAATTCACTTTTAAAATATTATTTCCAAACACATTAATATTTTTAACATCAATTATTTCAACATCGTCTTTTTAATATTAATTTTACTAAAAGCTAAAACAAAAAACTTACAGTATTTAGCTTTTAAAAATACAAGTTTTGATTTCTGCCATGCAGTTGAAAGTAATTTTTCTTTCCATTTTTTGTATAGAAGGTATTTCTGTTTATTTGTAATTTTTTCTGGCACAAAAAAAATATAATTTTTCATGTACTATTTGTGGCAGAATATCATGTTATGCCGATTGAAGACGAGTTTGTTCGGAAAATGTTATATAAATTCCATCTTGTGGCAGGATTTGTTTGAACCTTTTAAATCAAATAATGCTTTATTATTGTATGTTTCTCTTGGAAAAAAATCAACTTTCAGTAATTATGGGTAACCTTTTAGACAGTGAAATGTGAAATACTAGAAATTAAGTGGGTTAGCTCGGTTGACCGTGAGTCAATGACAGTTAGTTCACACGCTTAATAATTTATTTGTATTTGGGCTAATTAGTTTTGGCACGTCTTGGATTTACTGGTTTCCTACTATGTATATTCCATTCTAATTTCATATATGTTTTTGAGGATTCGAATCCCTACTCTTTTGGGGTTTGTGTATCCTAAGATTCATATTATCACTTGAGTCAACTATTGAAATTTAACTTTTTCTTTCTTGTAATCCAACTCATATATTATTTTGATTTTGGGTATTTTCTCTTTATTTTATATTTTTTTGGTAATTAATTACATCATTTCTTTTAAAATTGGTGCTCGTTACTACCAAAATAAAATAAAAAATTGGTGCTTGTTACACATACTTTTTTGGAGAAGGATATTATAACCTATGATGCACGGACACGGGAGACGGGACACGAGACACGACACGCTGACACGTTAATTCTAAAAAATATCATATTTCGACACGTTTGGGACAAGTTTTAATATTAAATAAATTTTTTAATATATATAATTTAATTTATATTTAATACATATAAGAGTCCATAATAAGTCATATAACCAATCAAATATTTAAATTACATAACATAAATATAAATATAAATAATTTTTCGTACATTGTTAATTTTTCATGTCAAATTTCATAACAGAAAAAAATTAATTTATATATCATTTCTTTTATATTTAGTTAACAAAATAAAATTAAGATTTAAAAAAAAAAAAACGAGTCCGAGTGTCGGAAAAAGTTGACTGCGTGTCGGAAGAACGTGTCGGAGAGTTGACCGCGTGTCTCCAAATGTTTACAGCGTGTCCGAGCGTGTCCGTGTCGAACACGTGTCTGACACGCAAATTTTTCAATTTGGAGCGTGTACGTGCTTTCCAGATTGTAACAACCAAGTTGTGTTACTACCATGTTACTACCAATCAATCTCACCGTTAGATCGATTATGTTGATCCAACGGTTATATTTATTTTCATTTTTGTATGGTTATGATTCCCCATATTTAAAGTGAAAGCATTAAATATGGGAAATCATAACTATACAAAGGTGGAAATAAATATAAAGTATTAAATTTGGGAAATCATAATTAGAGCCGGCAAAACGGGCTCGGCTCGACGGGCCAACCCGCCAAACGGGACTGGGCGAGCTGAGTTTTTCAACTCATCTCAAAAGCGTGGCGGACTCATTTTTTGACGGGTTGATGGCGGACATAGGCGGGCCGAGGCGGGTCAGTGTAAAATAGGCTCGGGCTGGCGGGCCAACCCGCCTAACGGGGCGGGCGGACTGAGTTTTTCAGTCCACTTTCAAAAACGGGGCGAGACTCATTTTTTGGCAGGGTGGGACGGAGCGGGGCGGGCCGCCTACTTTGCCACCTCTAATCATAACCATACAAAGATGAAAATAAATATAATCGTTAGATCAACATAATCGATTTAACAGTGAGATTGATTGGTAGTAACACAACTTGATTGTTACAATATCCTTCCCTTACTTTTTTTTTTTTTGGTAAACCTTCCCCTACTTTTTTTACTTAACTTTTAAATTTGTTTTTTTAAAGTAAATTTGTGTAAAATTTGTACATAAGAAAGTAAGGATATATGGTTTTTAAGTGAATTTTTTTAAAATATAAAAACATATAGAATAAGAAATGCATACGTAATTTTTTAAATAAAAAAGTCTACGTAATAAATATGGAAAAATGTTTATCATTTTAAAGCTCAAAATATTATATCATTTTAATGAAAAAATGTAAAAAATATGATGAAGAATGGGGACTTATTAATGAATTTTTTTAATTTAAATATTAAGTAAATGATAGCAATATAATTTAGGAAAACTTCAAAAAAACACCTATAAATTTTCTTAGAATCACTTATCTCTCTACCAGAAATTTTGATTCATTTACGTCTCTACTTAAAGTTTCTTTATCACTTACCTCATAACTTGATTTTTCATCTAAAATTAAAGTTAACAGAGTTAATTTTTTTTTAAATACCAAAACTATCCTTAAAAAACAACAACAGAAAAGAAGCTAACAATATAAGTGTTTGTATAAAAGATTTCCAACCTATATATGTGAAAGAGTCAGAATTTGTTTTCACTCAAAAAAATTTCATTCCATTAACTATTATCCAACCTACACACGTGAAGCTAACATTGTGGATGTTTTCGAAATTTTTTCTTTTTCGCAGCCACGAGACATCAAGGGTTTCTCTATGTTGTTTTTTTCTATTTTATTTTAAAGGTAGTTAAGGTATTTTCCAAAAAAATTAACTCCATTAACTTTATTTTTGGATGGAAAATTAACTTATGGGGTATGTGATAAAGAAACTTTAAACAAAAATGTAAATGATTCAAAATTTTGGGAGGAAGTAAGTGATTCTAAAAGAAACATAGGGTTTTTTTGAAGTTTTTCCAATAATTTAAGTCAATGACTAGTAATAGGTATAGTTCAGTTATGTAATGGGGTCAGTTATTCTTGTAATATGTAGGAGTCAATTATTTAAAATTAATAGGAATAACTCCATGTCTAACGTCTAAGAAATTTATATTAACAATTAAAGAGATAATTTTTAGATAAACAAAAACAATGCTCCCAAGAAGAAGATTCTACTAGCCCTTCAGCAAAGGCTAAAATACAAGTCAGGAAAATGGAATAATCCTACCCATCAAATAACTGTCTCCTACGTATTATTACTGCAGTTATTACTGCAATTATTTATTTAAATAACTGACTCCTACTTACTATAAGAAACCCCGGTCAATAAAATGTGGGCACAGTTGGCTAAGGGTTTAGTTCATACTCCACAAGGGCGTGGGTTCAAACCCCGCTAGCCGATGTGAGAATTTTGTTAGTGGGTGATATATAATTCTTCTCAAAAATTCTCAAAGAGATTGGAAGGTCTTCTTTGACCTTAGTGGGATACCGACCCAGCACTAGTGGTTAACTTAAATTTGGTTTCAATGAAAGTTCAGCCACACGAGAGTGTAAAACATGAATCCTTTGTGTTGCTGCTATCCTTGTGATCATGCATTTAACCTCTCAAATGAAAGCATCAATAGATAAAAATAACTCTCTGTCTAAAGTCTGAGAAATTTATATTAACAATTAAAGAGATAATTTATAGAAAAATAAGATCAATGCTCCCAGCAAACGAGAAGATTCTCCTAGCTCTTCAGCCAAGGCCGAAATACAAGTTAGTAAAACAAAATAATCCTACCCATCCCTTCTACTATATACAGAGATGCCCCAACACTACTCTAGTTACATTACTATTATTGCAGTTATTTACTCAAATAACTGACTCTTACATATTACTGACTTCTAGATACTACAAAAATAACTTACCTCATTATATAACTGAATTAAAACCATTGGCGTAACCACATTGGAATTGGAACCGTGCCTTGACAGTGGCTGATTTCCTTAGAAGCTTTTTTTATCTAGTAATTGTAAGTGATTTGCTTCCTTCATAACTGCTGGTTTTGGCACAAGATTCCTTCACGATTGACTGATTTTTGGCACTAACTTTCTAATTTTTCTGCTCCTCCACTGATTATACCCATTACTAGTCATTACTTTAAATTATTTTGCTATCGGTAAAACATTAACATTTCACTTAAAATGATACAATATCCCGTGATTTAAAAGTACAAAACATTTTTCCTATAAGTATTATCTTAAAAAATAATATAGTAATCCCTTTGTATGTAACTTTTTTATTTTTTTAACCTTTGTTTAATTCAGTTGATTTCTCTAAGAAAAAATTGAAGAAAACTTGGAATATACTCCGCCGTTATTACAAAGTATGCTCTCTCTCTTTATTATTAGAATAAAATCTTTTTGATTTCTAACAAAAAAATGCGATATTTATTTTGGTCTCTTACAAAAAAAAAAAAAATCCATATTAATTATTTTTAAGGACTAAATTGAATCTTAATTTTGAAGGGACCATATTTTTAGAGAAGTGGAATTATAATTTTTGAGATACCACGATTTTAAAGAAATCAATTTTTTTTTTTTTTTTTTTATAAAAGATGAAAGTGGCGCCGTATTTGTTTTTAGAATGTAAAAGGAACTTTACTCTTATTATTAATAACGACAAGCACGATTACTCAAATACCCTTGTCAAATCAAAGTATTACAACTTCGATACTGGATCGAAATCCTGTTTCCTTGTTCGGAATAGAAATGTGCAGTGACAGGGTCATTCTGAAACGACAGCGTTTTCTCCTCTCCTTCCCGTGCACGGCGGCGTGAGATCCATTCTGCCACCGGCGATCTCACTTCCACCGCTTCTAGACTCTTACGGCGGTTCCCGCGTTCAAATCGAACAAGCGTCGTTTATTTGCTGAATCCTCCTCCTCGTTCGTTCTGTACCCCAGGTTCCTCACTCTTGGGAAATACAAGGTACACTCAATTGCTGAACCTTCACTCTTTGATATTTCTCCTAATTCCATAACGTTACTGGATTCGTGTTGAATTCAATTTCCATTGCATCCATTACAGCGTTTTCAGAAAGAGAATCAAATGACGCTAAAACTGAGCTCTGCTCTGGGTTCTCTCTAGCTGATCATGTAATCTGTTTATATGTTCTGGTGAAAATAATGAGATTAATTCAATGTTATGGATTTTTATGTATGGAGCAATTCAAAGTTGAGCTGAAAGTAATTGAAAATTTGTAGTGTTCGATTTGCCGTTCGAGTGGTTTGTGATAGAAAATTTTATTTCAAAGTATTTTTTTTCTTGCTGTTCTCCACTTTAGCATTTTAATCTTTAAGATGCCTAAAAGCTTTATTATGAATGGATGCCCATTTGAAAATTTCAATCTGTGTCTGATATGACATAGTAGGTTCATGGCTATTGTCTGTCCAATTGCAGCTTATGCTGGTAAAACTTGTGACGCAAGAAGTTGATGGCATCAGGTGAAGGTGATACTGGTGGAATGATGGAAAGTCACGGGGAAGATTCTTCAATTCACGAGGAGCATTTGCCTGATGTGAATAATCATTACAAAGATGGAAGCAATGGAAATCTTCTATTGGCAAACAGTTTGTCTGATGAAAATCAAGATCCTGCTGATACTCACGATCAGCTTCTACAAATGGTTGTTGACCTCAGATTTCAGAATGAATTCTTGAAGTCCCAGTTTGAGGGATTTAGCAATGTAAACAGTGTACATAGTGACTCTAGTGTACAGAAAGGAGTTGGTGGGCTGGAAAATGGGGAATCTGACATTGTTAAAGAACTTCAAGAAAGGATAGAATCGATAAATAAAGAACTTCTGGAAGAAAAGCAAACAAGAATTGCATCTGAAGAAGCTTTGAAGCACCTTCAAATCACATACTCTGAGACAGAAGCAAAGGCCCAAGAGCTCTCTGAAAAGCTTGCAGAAGGTATGATTATGTTTGTGTGCATGTATGAAAAAGTGAAAGTCATGCATCGACCATAAATGAAAAAGTTTGACTTACATTTAATTGCTACTTGTCTGGAAACCAGTTTCACCTCTAAAACCAATTCTCAAAGCTGGAGATTTCATTGATTTTTCCTGTTAAAGCTTAAGAATGATATAGATATGAACAATATATTTAGTGGTTGCTGAAATCATACAGTCATAAGAAAATTAATCACTCTTGTAGGTTTTATCTTCCCTAGAATGAATGCATTGTATTAATTTTTTGCGCAGCTCAATCGAAGTTAGACCAAGAAATAAAAGAGCATGAAGAGAAGTACTCTGAACTTGACTCCAAGTTTAATAGGCTTCACAAACGAGCAAAACAGCGCATTCAAGATATTCAAAAGGTGAACTGTTGCTATATTTTTTTTCTGGCTTCTTCACGTTTTAATGTTGATATTGTCTATATTTCCTTGAGGTAATGCTACTTACACAATCTTTTATCACAAACTTGCTCAAACTGCTGATCAAGTGGCTCTACTTAACACTTTTTTCCCCATATCAAACTTATGTGTAGTGTAGCAAATTAGTAGTTTGTGTTAATGGGATTACTCTTTTTCTTGCTATCTTTTATGATTGAGATTTTGTAATACAAGGACACCTTCTGTCTTTTAATGATGAACCCCGGGCCTCAGAATTCTTATATAAGCACAAGATAAGTCAGGAAGTTCTTATTGAGTGCTTCAAGAATACCTCCTGAGGCAACATACTCTGTTAAGGCACTTTACTGGATTATTTTATACGTGTTTATGTAGAAGTGAGTTCAATTTTTGGTTTGGGAAATTTTATTGCCAGGAAAAAGATGATCTTGAGGCCCGATTCTCTGAGGTGAATGAAACTGCAGAGCGAGCATCATCCCAACAGTCAGCACTGCAACAAGAGTTAGAGCGCACAAGGAAGCAAGCGAATGAAGCATTGAAAGCCATGGATATTGATAGGCAACAATTAAGAAGTGCAAACAACAAGTAAAACCACTGATTTACTTTTCATCACGATGATTGATCAGCACATCCATTTGTTAGAAACTTATGTATATTTAGGTGTGTCAGGATGATAGCAAACTCAATACACAATAGATATAAGTAGAACAGTAGCACAAATTAAATTAAAATTACTCCACTGAAATCATAAAACTCTGAAACATCTTTTATATATATTTAATGAAAATACACAGAATTACAGAAGCATGCCTTCGAGAGGCATGTTCTCTTCTTATTCTCCTAACTTTCTGACTTAAATTCTGCCTTTTCTTACGTGTTTTTCCAGCCTTTATTATTTAGTCTCCTAGTACCTACAATAACTTCTACAACAGTTACATTACAGCAATTACATTCGTACAATAACTTACATTCCTAAAATAATTTTTATAACAGTTACATTATAGCAGTTACATTCCTACAATAACTTCTGCAACAATTATTTTCTCAACAAGTAGGCAGCTATCTATAAGTGACTTTCCCCAATTCTATCTTCTTCTATACAGTTTCTGCCAGACAATTGAGAGGGCTTTGATCCCTTGTAATTCCTCCTAGAATAGACTGGTGATTAGAGGTTTCTGTTGTCTAACACAGGAGAAACTATGTTTTCATTTATTTTATAGGATAGGACTAATAAGCATAATAATAAGCTATGCTGATGATAGGATGTAAAAGTTATTTGCATTACAGGGGCCAAACCAAATCACCACTACTACTACCAACACCCTTCATTTGTCCCCTTTCATAGTTATTCATGTAATCATTTGTGACTAATTCCACTTCCTTTTGTTATAATTATGAAATGGGAGAATTTTTTTCTCCCTCCCCTGCAGGGGAAATTTTTGTCTTCTTAGGGGTTAGGTTCATTAGGCATTATTGATTAGTTATTCCATAGGCATGTTTGATATAAATATTCTTTTAAAAGAAATTTCATTTTCTCCCAATTGCAGTGAAAGTTAATTATTTTGTTCCAAACATAGCATGCTAACCCCTAATCTTAATTTATTGCGCTATGTAGGAATCATTAGACAGGAATGTTGTGTTAAATTGATCATAAATTGTTTCCAACAAGATTGGTTTCAAAATCTGCTTCCAGTGTAAAACGTTTTTAATGGGTCTATAGAAAACTAAATTATAGAAATAAAGGAGAATTCAGAGTACTGTATCCCAATTGTAATTGTTATTTTAAAAATCTGTGTTTCTAGACTTCGAGATACCATTGAGGATTTACGGAGTTCATTGCAACCTAAGGAGAGTGCTCTTGAGGCATTACAACTGTCACTTGCAGAAAAGGAACAGGTGCAAATGATCCTTTTATTTTAATTGGTGAAGTTTTTATTTTGATTTAGATCTCCTGTATGTTTATTATGTTGTGTTTATTCTTATTGGTAACTGATTTTGTCTTTGTCTCTTGTGGATATTTGCATGTAAAACTTAACTCAGTGCACTATTTATGGCTGTAAACTAAACAATTGTTATTGATACTTATCAATTTTTCATATTATACCCAACTTGTTTATATACTGCCTTTGCTCAACTACAGATACGTATTTCGGCCAAAATATATGACTATTTGATCTTTTCCTTGGACCAGATGTCTACCCCTTTCCTTAAAATGGTATTCTAGTATGAGAGTCCATTTGGATCCTCTTATGGGACAGCACAACAAGTTATGAATTAAATCTTTCTTGTCAAACTTTTTAGTGCTTGCTTTATGTTTTTATCTATCTTGATTCAAACAATTTTTATGACTTATATTAAATATCTTTCACAAATTTTTTGTGTTATTTTAAATTCCTATATTAAATATCTGTATTTTAAAATTTGACAACTCAGATGTTGGAAGATATGAGAGGGTTGCTTCAGGCTGCTGACGAAAAAAGGCAAGCTGCACTAGCTGAGCTCTCAGCCAAACATCAAAAGGTACATTTTTGTCTTTTAGCATCTTGGCTGACTTTTTTCTTATTTTCTCTTTTTATATATATAGGGTATAATATCATTACACGTTAATATTTCATCTAAGCATCCAATCCAGGAAAATGAAAGATAAACATTCGCCTCCCCTTCCCTCACTGTCCAGAGGTTAAACATTATTAGAGTATATAGTAAAGCTTCAGCTTTACTTAGTCATCTGGTGTATTTTACTTATTGTAATACTGGTTGTATGTGATTAGCACTTCACCTTTCTTTAGTTTGTTATTACAGTTGTATCTAAGCTGTTAGAGATTTGTTAGTAACTGTAGCTCTATAAATAGAACCTTTATGTACTGTGTTCAATAGAATTCAATATACAGATCAATGGCTCTTCGTCTCTCTCACTTCTCTCTCTATAAAATGAGTACTGATCATACTATCAATTGTTGGTGCATTGCAATATGCAACCATCACTAGACCAGAAATCAGCTATGCAGTTAACAAAGTGTGCCAATTCATGGCTCAACCTCTTAATGAACATTGGCTGGCTGTTAAAAGAATCCTTAGGTATCTCAAAGGATCTCTTTCCTTTGGTCTTTTTCTCAGTCCAGCAGCCTCTTTCACCATCACTGCCTTCTGTGATGCAGATTGGGCTGGTGATCCAGATGACAGAAAGTCAACTTCCGGTGATTGTGTTTATTTTGGACCCAATCTTGTTTCATGGTGGTCAAAGAAGCAGACCTTGGTGGCTAGATCCAGCACTGAGGCTGAGTATCGCAGTCTAGCAGCTACATGTTCTGAAATCTTATGGATTCAATCTCTTCTTCATGAACTTCGAGTTCCCATCTCCACTCCTCAGATTTACTGTGACAACTTGAGTACAGTTGTTCTATCTCATAATCCAGTATTACATGCTCGTACCAAGCATATGGAATTAGACATTTTCTTTGTTCGTGAACGAGTCATTGTATCACATATTCCAGCATCAGATTAGATTGCAGACATTCTTACCAAAGCTTTATCCACTGATCGTTTCATTGATCTGCGCACCAAACTCAGAGTGTTGGATCTCCAACACTGCTGAGTTTGCGGGAGAGTATTAGAGTATATAGTAAAGCTTCAGCTTTACTTAGTCATCTGGTGTATTTTACTTATTGTAATACTGGTTGTATGTGATTAGCACTTCACCTTTCTGTTAGTTTGTTATTACAGCTGTATCTAAGCTGTTAGAGATTTGTTAGTAACTGTAGCTCTATAAATAGAACCTTTATGTACTGTGTTTAATAGAATTCAATATACAGATCAATGGCTCTTCGTCTCTCTCACTTCTCTTTCTTCACAAATTCTAATAAACATAAATGAAATTGATATATCACATATAACATTACCAGAAATGGCTTTGCTAGTACTTTGTGAATCACCCTCTGTTACGATCCCATTTGCAAGGTATGAGACTTGAAGTCCTATATTGGTTATATGGAAAACTAACGTGGGGTTTATAAGGTCTTGGGAACTCCCACCCTTTGAGCTAGCTATTGGGGTGATGCATCTCAAGGTTCTTATCAAACGGTATCAGAGCCTTCCACTATGTCTCCCGGTTGCAATTGAGCGACGCAGGTGGTGATGCCGGCATTGCAGTGTTAGCCCGAGGCTAGTAAAAGACTAGCGCAAAGCCAACCTGCGTAATCGCCGGGGCTAAGGAGCGTGGTAGAATGTTACGATCCCATTTGCAATATATTGGACTTGAAGTCCCACATTGGTTGTATGGGCAACTAATGTGGGGTTTATAAGGCCTTAGGCACTCCCATTCTTTGAGCTAGCTTTTGGGATGGTGCATCCCAAGATTCTTATCACCCTCACTCTCATTTCCAATAGAAGGGAATTCTATGTACTTTCTCTCTTAGTCCTGCAAGTATGATTCTTCATTCTCCTCCTCCTCCTCCTTCTTATTTCCAATAGAGTGGGATTCTTTGTCCTCCCTCTCTTAGTCCTGCATGCTTGACTCTTCATTCTCCTCCTCCTCCTCAACAAATTTATCTCGATTAATACCGCAATCCGAGCTTGAAGAAACAAAAATACATTGCAATTAAATCATGGTCTATCAACCTAAAGAAAACTAATGCAATAATTTGTCATTTTTGTCTGGTTTGCGTACTATGAATTTAATGTTTTGACATGAAAACAAGTAAAATATAATTTTTAAATAACTTGCAAGCAATTGAAAATGGAGAAATATCGCTATAAAGAATGCAAGTTTGTCCAGAGTACCAAACGTCAATATATTTTCAGTTTTTTCTTAACCAATCATAACAGAGACCACTTCTTCTCCCCCTTCTACGCTGCTTAAGGAGTTTCATGGCCTTGCAATTATGGGTTGTATCCAACCCATGCTTCTGCGGGTAAGACTCAGGAAGATTTATGCCTTGAAATGGGTTCCATGTAATCTATAACAACAAAAACAATTCAAATTAATTATAATTGGTTCTTTACATGGTATCAGAGCAATTGGTTCTTTACACTCAGAGCTTTCCACCTCCAATGTGATAGTCTTACCCGTTAGGGTCTTCACAAATATTTGCATACCACCACGAAGCCGCAAAACCAAGTGCAGAGTACATTCCTTCTGGATATTATAATCAGCAAGGGTACATCCATCATCAAGCTGCTTCCCAGCAAAGATAAGCCTCTGCTGGTCCGGTGGGATGCCCTCTTTGTCCTGGATCTTTGCCTTCACATTATCGATGGTATCAGAACTTTCAACCTCCAAAGTTATGGTCTTCCCAGTTAAAGTCTTAACAAAGATTTGCATCCCCCCACGAAGACGTAGAACCAAGTGCAGAGTGGATTCCTTCTGAATGTTATAATCAGCAAGGGTTCTTCCATCTTCAAGTTGCTTGCCAGCAAAAACCAGCCTCTGCTGATCTGGAGGGATACCCTCTTTGTCCTGGATCTTGGTTTTCACATTATCAATGGTATCAGAGCCTCGTGTCCCGAGTTCGATCCTCACCGCCTTCTATTTTCTTTCAAGTGGAATTTCTTTGTTCGTACAGGTAGGTGGACCTGTGCATTGTCCACCCTTCAAGCCCAGTGGGCTCTCGTGTGAGGGGGCGTTTTGAGATATATAAAACCATTAAAAAACCCTCACCCACCAGTTTAAGCTTTTGGATTGAATTGGTTCTTTACAATTATCAAGTCAACAAATGAAGAAGATTTTCATTTATATTACGAGGGGTATTTTTATAAACTTACATCATCATAATTTTTTTTTCTTCAAAATCTTAGTGTAGGATTTTTTCAAATGTTTAACTCGGGTTTTGCAGCCTTCCACAACAAACTTTTCTAACCATTTATCAATCAACGGGAAGTCCCTCTCTTCAAGGTTGGCGGATCCCATCACATCTGGAGTCACATAGTAAGGCCCAAATTTTAAAAGTTTCTCCAGGCATTTAGTCTGAAGTTTGGGAATATGTTCAAGAACAAAAATTTACATGCACATTTGACAAGAAAAAGTAAATCAGTTATAAATAACATATTCAAAACACAATACAATTTTAAAAAGTAATAATTATAACCAAAATTATAAAACTTACTTAATGAAGAACTGCAGGAAATGACAATTCCCTTGCATTTCCAAAATCTATTTTATCTTTATTTGCATCAAGAAATGCATGGAGGTTGTTCAGAGATAACCCTATTGTTAGGCTCTGGTTGCCCATTCTACTTGAAGTGAGAGCGAGAGTGAGGTGGAGGAGAATGAAGAATCATACTCGAAGGACCAAGAGGGGGAGTACGTAGAATTCCCTTCTATTGGAAATGAGAGTGAGGGGATTCACAAGGCACTAGCAAAGCCACTTCCGGTAATGTTGTATGTGATATTTCAATTTCACTTATGTTTAACTTCTGGACAGTGAGGGAAAGGGAGGCAAATGTTTATCTATCACTTTCCTGCATTGGATGCTTAGATGAAATATTCACGTGTAATGATATTATACCCGATATATATATAATCTTTTAGGAGGACACCACATCCTCGTGTACTCTTTCGTCCCTCATCAAATTTCTTTTATTGAAAAAATAAAAAAGGTTACACTTTCTGTAATCTGTGCTGTGTATTTTGCATCTAGATGTGCTTTGCCTTCAATTCAATGTTTGTTTCCTGCAGAATATAGAGAGTTTGGAGGCTCAACTTAATGATGCATGGTCTGATAGAAGTAAGGCAACTGAATCCATATCTTCACTGCAGGTGAGTTATATGGTGATGTGCTTTTTGCATACTTGCCATGGTTCATAAAGGGAGGAACAATATGCTGCTTAGTTGAAAATTATGTTCCATTTGTTTGGGATGGAGGGGGTTGAAGTTGCATTGATGACCAGATCTTAATGATTATTTAAATATAGCTGTCTTTTTGATTTCATGCTTAGCTTTTCTAGTGAGTAGCTCTACTACTTTTAAACAGAGGTCTGCAAGGGCTGGGTAACGAGAACATTTATAGTGGACTTAGACTAGAAAACCAACAACCAATTTAATTTTAGTGGGGTTCAGGATTTACTTTCAAACTGCTACTAGGCCTTGAAATTTTTCTGATTTAGAGACATTTGGAGGATGATGAGACCTTGGGATGCACCACCCAAAAAGCTAGCTCCAAGGGTGGGAGTGCCCAAGGTCTTGTAAACCCCACATTAGTTGCCCATACAACCAATGTGGGACTCCAAGTCCCATACCTTGCAAATGAACCCCAACATTCCACCATGCTTCCCTGGTGCGTGCCCCCACGCACAACTCCACGTGATGGATGCTCTGATACCATTTGATGAGACCTTGGGATGCATCACCCCAAAAGCTAGCTCTAAGGGTGGGAGTGCCCAAGGTCTTATAAACCCCACATTAATTGCCCATACAACCAATGTGGGACTCCAAGTCCCATACCTTGCAAATGAACCCCAACAAAGGATGAGCTCAATCAGCTGATAAGTTTCTTATTCTTATTCATTGTGTGTGTAACACATGTTTTGTCTTACTTGCATAGTTAAGGACATTTAAGTTCTCTTTTAATATGTTAAGTTGAGAGTCCATGGACTCTTTTATTTGTAATAATTAAATGAAATGTAATAAATAAATATTTTTTTGGGGATTGATTATCCGATGACAATCTTTTATGCAAAGAAAAATGATCTGCTGCCAATCACTTCACATATATAAAATACATGTACTCCTGCATATGTCAGAAGTTTCCGGCTGATGTCCTGACCATGTGCAATCCACTAATGCCTCCAGGTTCTAGTTGCAGAGAAAGAATCTATAATTGCAGAGATGGAGGCAGCATCAACTGGGGAAGCGGCACGGCTCAGAGCAGCTGTGGAAAGTGTGAAGGGGGAGCTTTCTCATCTAAAACAGGAGCATGTATGGTTCTGACTCTCAAAATGTGTAAATTAATGTTCCATTCTGTGTTGGATTTCTCTTCCTCCTCTCCCTTCTCTTTAAGCAAGAGCGTTTTTGCAGTATTATGTAATATGTCGACCCGATATATCTTTAACGTTTGAACTATCTACAAAATCAGTTCAATAATGCATAAATCCAATATTAAAATTAAAATACTAAAATAAAAGGGTAGTAAGCACATAATATGTGACTTTCCTTAAGCAATGCCAATATATTATTAGGCAACTATTATGTCTATCTTGGTTCATATAGAAAGTTAGAACTGTTTGAGGAGCATTTTTGTCACTTAGCCTATCATCAATTTGGATAAATCGTATACTTGGAAGCTTATGGAATTGCAATTTATTAAATAAAAGTGATGATGTTTATGCAAATTTAGGCATTGACTTCTCCATTACATGTGTTGAAATGGAAGAACGACTTCTTTCTTATTTGGGTTGATCTATCCCTTAAAAATATGCTTGTACAACCAGGAATGAAATTATCCATAGTGCATTGACTTGTCTGAAATTAGTTAACTGTAATGCATGTTTTAATTGATTAAATTGCTTAATTAAATTCCTGTATGATTTATCTTGCTAAGGATGTTCTTCAATTTTTTTATCTGTTAATTTAATGTACTCATTGTTATGAATGTTCTTTCCCTTTATATTTGGAAGAAGATTGTGGTTTTAGCTTGTTGGGGTTTGAAAGATCATGGGTTCAAATCCGAGAAATAGCTTCTTTGCAAATATGCAAGGGTAAGGCTGCATACAAGGATTGCCCTCACCTCACCTTCGCTAATCGGGGTTTAATGGGGAGTGGTTTGGGGTTTGCTTAGGCAATAAAGATGAGTATTTTAAGAGAAATTGGAGTGTTTAAAAATGTGGAGGTCTTGTTGTTACTGAACTTATTGCTCTATACTTTTGTTATATGGTTGCTTTAATCTCAAACTATGGTGTGCTCAGGAAAAAGAAAGGGAAAGTTGGGAGACTGCAACTCAGGCACTTAGAACAAAACTTGAAATTGCAGAGAGCAACTGCATACGGGCAGAAGTTGAAGTAGCAAAAATAAGAAGTACATATTGATCCGTCTGCAAGCTTTCTCATATTCATTTTAATATGGATATTCATGCTTTTAACCATGGCCAGGTCAGCTGGATTCGGAAGTATCTACACAAGCCAGGATCCTCAGTACGAGAGATGCTGAATTGTTGGCTGCCAAGGAAGAGGTTCTAATTAATCTTCCCTTATTAGCTGGTAGAAAATTAAACAGAGATTAAATTATGTTGATTTGTAGCTTGTCTCTTCTGTATTTTAAAGAGTGCCAAACAGTTTTTGTCTATCTCTGGAGTTGGGTAAGAATTAGGAAAATGTTATGTCAAAGAAATGAACTCAGAGAAAAAAAATCATCGGTTCTAATAACATGCTCTTGTTGGGCATAAGAGCATTTTCTTACTTATATTAGAATTTATGATATGTGAATTATGTAATGTCATATGGCATTCCAGTTGTGGGAGAGAACCGTGTTTCTAATCCGTATCTGGTATTCCTTCTGGACTAGTAAGTGAAATGGTTTGAAGTTTTTGTCGGTGTTTTGACAGACAGAAGAGGAACTACTTGGTTGACAAGATAATTTATTGCTTCAACGAATCTGATATTTTTATTACCTCGTATTTCATAACAGTTCCCAACTATTTTGGGATAAAGGTGATGTTGATGTTCATATTTTAGAACAGTACAGCCTTTAATTGAAAACCGTTCATGGAAATATGTCTTGTGTTCCATCCACATCCGTGAATGGTTGTTGAATAGTCCCTTGGCAGCATCACATGTGAAGATAAGATACGTATCATTTACAACAATGCATGTCGGCTCTCTAATGTTTGGTTTTGTGCCTCTGCAGATCAGATGTCTTGAGAGGGAATTTTCTTCATACAAGGCCCGTGCACATGCACTTCTTCAAAAGAAGGATGCAGAACTGGCTGCAGCTAAAGACTCTGATCAACTCAAAGCTCTTGAAGAAAATCTAAAAGTACATGTTCATAATAGTCTGGTGAAGAAGACATTGTTTGATTAATGTAAATATATTGATCGCCAATCACATTCTTGATTTTCTACAGGAGGCTGAAAATGAAGTATTATCAATAACAGAAGAAAGGGAAAGAGTTCTTCAGGATCTTCAATCTGCTATGGCTAATCATGAGAAAGAACTTGCAGAAAGGTGCTATTATTATTGACAAATCTTAATGGGCTTTTTTACCTGATATGTTGCCCTGAATTTTATACAGATTACAATCATTTAGTTGGAAGCATAAGATGAATCACTAGTAACTGAATTTGTGAGAAACTTGCTTTATCTCATTGATTTGTGCTATGATTCTGGGGCAAATATTGGATAGACTACAATAATTATCTTTTTTGCTGTTTAGTGTGGAGCAGTCACAACCTCTCATTTCATGAATTTCAGAGACACAGCCCTTGAAAATGCTAAGCAACAGATAAGGAATTTAGAAATAAAGCTTGACTCAGGTAATGCTCAACATCTAAAAGAGAAAGAGGAATGGGGACAAAGCCTTCAAAATGTAGAAGAAACATGGCGAAGTAATACACTCTGCTACTTGGTTAAATAGTTGCTAATACCTTATTCTTCTATGATTCCTCATCTGCATGAATCTGGCATCAGAAGATTAACTTAAAGCAAACTTTGCAGTCAGATGCGAGGCAATGAAGGCCGAAAATGAAGCAACTGCTGCAGAAGATAAGCAAAAGGAATTTGAAGAGCTCAAACATCGATTTAAAAAATTGAAGGTAGCCTGCAAATTGTTAAACCTGTGTTTGGACCTTTTTTCTCCCCTCCTCTCCTTTTTTGTGCTAACTGAATCTATAACTTGCAGGAAGAGCATGCTTCATTTCATGATCTTGCTGATAGAATGATTGAAGACAAAGATAATGAAATATCCAGACTTGTAGATGAAAATAAGAATCTTCGTCTTTCTCTTCAATCAAGACCGCCAGTATGTATTTTACCTGTTTTTTCAATATCATGAGAATGAAGACCTTGGTCCTATACTTAACATTTCTGTGGTCTTGCATATGCATTCTACTGGTGTCGCGATTCTGTGCAAATGATCTAAGGTCGATCAAAATGATAAGTATAGCACAGGTATTAATTCATTTATAGTATGATTATGATAGTAGTTGTGTTTTCTTTTAAGTATTAGTTCATTTATACTTGATCATATTGTTGCTAAATGTTATCATAAGTCAATCATTCAGGGGTGATGACTGACACTTTAATCTTCATCTGTTATGTACAGCCTTGCATAAATTGGATTCAACAAATTTAAGTCCCTCAGCTGCAGAACAGCAAATTCTGGTATATTCTTCATTTCCAATTTTCAGTTTAATTCTATTTATCGCTGTAATATATTCTATATATATATATGAGACAAGATCATTTAGCACCGGTGTCAAACAAAAAGTTTAAAACCTCATCTCAAAGTCGTTGATCTTGCCTTGATCTAACGGTCCTCAAATGAGGTATCAAACTTTTAATTTGACACCGGTGTCAAATGATTCTACTTATATATATATATATATATATATATATATATCTATTTGGAAAATATTGTGTGTAGCGATTTGGTCAGGTTTGAGATATTATAACAATCGTTTTATCCTCCTTTTCTTCTTCTTCTTTTTTTTTTGGGAAGGGGGTGGTGTTGAAAGTGGAAGTTTCGTTCAAAATATACAAGACTATTTCTTTTAGACTATCTTGCATATACTTAGTATATTTTGGAGAATCCTTCATTGCATCTTTGTTTTGATCCTTGTCATAATTTCAGCTTTTGGCTAGACAACAAGCTCAAAGAGAGGAAGAGCTAGCACGGTCACAGCGCCATATTTTAGCTCTTCAAGTATGGCTTGACCTTTTTAAAATGTTCATCTTTTATTCCCCCTTCTTTCCCTTTTTTTTTCTTTCTTCAGTAATACTATAATGCTAACTCAGGAAGAAATTGAGGAGCTTGAACGTGAGAATCGTCTCCACAGTCAACAGGTATGTGTGTGCCGGAATTCTTTAAGATTTTAATCATAGTTCCATATGAAAGAGTGAGATGAATGGGTCTACAAGGTCAACGGTTGTTTCTTTAATTGCTAGACTATATTTTTTTCAGTAGATATTCCCTGACTTTTAAGGTTCAATTAAAACTAATGTTCTAACAAGATTTAGATAGATTCACTTAACAAAGAAAAAAGTTAATACCATGGATATAGAGTGTTAAGGACACACCAGAGGGCCAATTGATGTTGCTAATGGCAGGGTCAGGATGAATAGCCTAAAATTGATAGTTAACCCTCTAAATTGACAGGTGCAAGAGGATGTGAAGTTAAACATGGATTTAAAGACTTTAATATTGCGTTGACTGTTTGCAGTTTTCAACAATTTTCACCCAATCGTAGCACTTAATTATGCATAAAAAATTTGTAGCCTTTCATTTTTGTTGGATAGAGAATCAGATACTTAACTAGAAAGCTGTGTTGTGTTGTTTTTTTTTAATAAAATAATTAGTGTTACTGGAGGTAAAGATCTTCTGCTAGTAGTTCTCGTTTATATTGCAATTTTCAGTTAGGAAAATGTTCTCATGCTACATTATTTTTAAATTTGTGACTATTGAAAAATAGATAAATAAATGACCATCTTCGGATGAGTGATTTGAACAATTTAGTTTTAATTACATGTTTCAGCATATAGTAACTTGTGCTTATGAATAGCCGAATATTATGACTGTAGGAAGCAATGTTAAAGACTGAGCTTCGTAGCATGGAAAGAACGAAGAAAAGGGAGGGTGTAGATATGACATATTTGAAAAATGTTATCTTAAAGCTTCTTGAGACAGGTATGATTTTTTTATTTTTTTTAGAGTGAGGTCCTTCTTTGAATCTCCTTTACATTTTCTAAGTAGTATTGGGAAGCAAGTTTAATTAATATGAATTTTTTTTATCAGGTGAAGTGGAGGTATTGCTACCAGTTATTGGAATGCTGCTTCAGTTTAGTCCGGAAGAGGTAATTCTGTCATCATCTACTTTGCATCCCAAGGCTCTTATTTGGTAGAGATAGAAGAAAAAAAAAAATTGGGGGAAGGAATGAACTTGTGCAAAGTAAAGAGGTGCACTCTCTACAATGCTATAATCATTGTACATTTCTTTCCTACTTCCTATTACATCTCCTAAATTAAATTTGTTTTTATTAGAAATCACTTTGATGCAATTTGAACTTGCAAAAATCATTTGGCTAAGACTGTGAATGTGCTCCAGTGAGATGTTCTGTAGGCTCATCAATGGGCACTACACAAAAGTAATAGTAGATATTTTAAACAAGTTTTTCTATAAAATAAGAATTTCAAATATATGCTCAAGCATTTAGTTGGATGGTCATTAATTGCTCAAACCAGTCTTGGCAAAATTCGTTTGGCTTGTGAATGTGCCCCAGTTATATGTGCTGTAGGCTCATTAATGGGCACTACACAGAAGTAATCTATATTTTAAACATGTTTTTCCATAGAATAAGAATTTCAAATGTATGTCCAAGCTTTTAATTGGATGGACAGTATTTGCTCAAATCAGTTTGCTTCATGCTTCAAAAAGTTTTACCGCTATACAATTCTTTTGTCTTCCCCTAGTTTTCCGGATATAATAAAAAATGATGTCCCTTACAAGAGTCAAAAACTATTTCTTATTTGTTTTTACGTTTCAGCAATTTATTTAAGTGCCAAATAGAATGTAAGTAATTTTTTTTAAAATCAGAAGTTCAGTTATGTTGATGAATGAAAAGGAAACAATTCTCTGCAATTTATGCAAGTGCAGATTCAGAAGTGCCAGCAGGCATATCACAGCTCAAGAGATGTTCCACAAAGTCCTGCAAGTGATGCTTCAGGATCCGGCCTATCTCTTTTCTCAAGATTCTCATTTTCTTGATGGCATAAATGGGAGTGCTGGAGAACTGTTTCGTTGCTGATAGAATGTCTGCTTCTGCCTTACAGCTCTAGGAGTATGTTTGTTTGCTTACTGTACTGAGAAAGCAGGTTTGTATCTGTAAATTAGAAGGAAAAAAAAAAAAAAGGTTACAACAGCAAATGCTCAATGCAAGTGTTTGGAAGCTGACAAGCTGTAAAGAAACATCAAGGGTAATATACAACAAATATAACAACAGGGAGGGAGGACTCACGGGATGTTCTGCCTGTTGTTTTGTCGAGGGAGCAACAATATAATTCATTTTTTCTCATTGAATATGTTGAGTTGAAAAGTATAGAAAACTGTATTATATTTCTTGATATATTTAATTTTCAATTTGACAATGCCAAAGGAATGATAATTCTCCTTGAATTCATACTAGCTTTGCAAGTAATAATTAAGGCATTTTTGGTGTTACTGAGTTTTCATGAAGGTTATCTTTTTCATTGGTGCATTAAAAATTATGTTACTGCATTATGATTTGCCGGAACTATATTATTATTTAATATCATAGCCTCATAGGTCAGAGTTGCTCAATATATGTTGATATTTCATCATTGCAGGCTCTTGAACTGCTTCTTGTTGAACCAACGTTGCTTGATAATTTAAGCACTTCATTTCCTTGCGGAAAGGACTAGATGTATGTCAAATTTTTGATATGACGAATATCAAAGATAAACAAAATATGTGCACCTAGACACGTTGTTTTAATTATCCTAAAATGAAGTTCGATAATGTATTTGAGCAATGTCACGGGTAATATTGGCATATACATGTCGTGAATAACAAATTTCAATTGAGATTTGATGTATATTGTGCTCTTTGTCTGCAAATGTCTGCATTTAAGATACACGGCTGAATGCTACCAAACAACGAGGACTTAAAAGATCCATCAAATAGTAACATTTGTAATCAAAATGGAATCGCGGGGGTTGGGGATGGGGAAATGCTTACAAAAATGGAGAATTCAAACTATGAACTTAAAAAAAAAGATTCTCCCCACCTCCTTTGTATCGAGACAACAGGTTTTGCCCAACAATTGTTTTTGTTCATGAAGGTTGTTACTATATCTTTGAGTTCACTGTGAATTTTATAAGTGACGATATATTTATTAATAAATTTTATAATATGCAAGAGTTAAACTTATGAATGGTTTGATATGTTCTCGCCTATAGGATATATCATGAATTCGAATCTATACTAACATCACTCTTAAGTTCATTTAGATATAAACATTTATTAAGAACATCCAACCACATGGAAAAGGAAAAATATCATCCAGCCATCAAAATAATACTAAGGAATTTGGTATCCTGAGATCAAGTAAGTTTTCCCAGCCAAATGGCAAAGAAACCAAGTTTTCTTAAAATATAAAAAATTTCACCCTACCTCTATTTTTAATTTTCCAATGAATTAACTGTTCCTAGGGGTAAATTATCAAATTCTTACCTGTGCACCAATTTTTAATTTATTGTATCACGTGGGTTGTCAATTTGCTATCTCCCCTGCTAAATGCTGAAAGCCGCAAAGTTGGGAATTGGAATCGCTACAATAATAAGACAATTTACTCTCTTCATACTTTCTTCTAAACAATAATTAAAAATAAAATCTTATACTAGTCCCACTTTTGAAAAATAGATTTAAGATATTTCACTCAATAATTAAAAAATATTAAAAATATGTTACTAACATTTCTTTAGTAAGAATAAACAGTTAGTTTAAGAATTACCCCAAGATAGGACTCTAACACCATGTGTACGAGCACACAAGAACTTTTCCTTCCATACCTTTCAATAAATCAAGGTATTTGTAGTTCCACAATAACTCAATATGTCTCATCCTCATTTTATTATTGCAAATATACCATGTTACATCCAGTAAAATATCACATGAGACTCAACCCTTACAAACTTGTAATTGAGGACATACCAATAAACCGAACCTAAACTAGTTCACTTCCAGTCGACAATGGTAAATGCAATGAAAACACAACCTGCCGACCCAAATTTGAATATCAAACATGGCACTAAAAAAGTGAAAAGGAGACGACAGCCTGTGCCTAATTAACTAAAGAAAGCAAAAACTGCCAGAGATTCTTTGGAATTATAGTGACACTTTCTGCATAACAGAGAAATGCTTGCACGAAAGTGGTGTACCTAACTAGGATGCACTAATGATGAGATTAAATTAGTACATCCAAGTTGAAACCACTACGATTATCCAAGTATTTCCAGCAGACATAGGATCCTCCTCTAAGCATGCTTGGCCTGGAAATCCTTCATGAAAGCCACCAACTTCTCAACCCCAGCCAAAGGCATAGCATTGTAAATGGAAGCTCTCATACCTCCCACTGACCTATGTCCCTTAAGCTGAACCATCTTTTCCTTAGCAGCCTCCTTAATGAACTCAGCCTCCAATTCTGGTTTCACCAAAGTAAATGGCACATTCATGAAAGACCTCACTGACTTCTCAACCGGGCATCTAAAAAAGCCATTGCTTTCATCAATGGCATTGTAGAGAATCTCAGCTTTCTTCTTGTTCTTCTTCTCAACCTCCTTCAAACCACCTTGTTCCAAAAGGTCCTCAAACACCAAACCACACATGTAAATACAATAACAAGGAGGGGTATTGTAAAGTGAATTGTTCTCATCATGTATCTTGAAATCAAGCATCACAGGAGTCACTGGCTGAGCATTCCCAATCAGATCCTTCCTGATTATCACAATGGTTACACCAGAGGGCCCCACATTCTTCTGGGCCCCAGCATAGATCACCCCAAATTTGGACACATCAACAGGCTTGGAACAAAAATTTGAAGACATATCAGCAACCAAAATGCCACTTGCATTTTTGGGTGTTGGGTAATCCTTAAACTCAACACCATGAATAGTCTCATTTGCACATATATGCAAATACCTAGCATCTGGGTTCTGCTCCAATGAATCAAAAGATGGAATCTTTGTGTACTTTTCAGATTTCCCAGACCAGATCACCTTTGGTTTACAGTATTTCTGTACCTCCTTGAAGGCCTTGTCACCCCATGAACCGGTGACAACGTAATCAACGGTGTCTTCGGGACTGCAGATGTTCAACGGCACGGCGGCGAATTGGGTGGTGGCGCCTCCCTGAAGGAACATAACGGAATATTCCGGCGGGATCTGCAAGAGGGTGCGCAGATCCGCTTCGGCTTTTTGGATTATTGAGAGGAACTCTTTGCCCCTATGACTCATCTCCATCACGCTCATGCCGGATCCGCGCCAGTTGTAGAGCTCCGACTGTGCCCTCAGGAGCACCTTCTCCGGCAGGGTGGCCGGTCCGGCGGCGAAGTTGAAGACCCGATCTTCCGATTGGGTGTGAGGAACCGGTTGAGCCTGCACTTGTGTGGCGCATTTGATGGATATGGGCTTGAAGGTGGTGCGTAGAGAGGTGAACGGAAAACGATGGTTGTTGTTGTTGTTGTTGATGTTGGTGGTTTGGTTGAATAGTTTGTTGGAGTTTTGGAGAAGATGAGTGTGAGTTGAAGTTGCCATTGACATGGTGACGGTGCTGAAGATTTTGTTTTTGTTTTTTGTTTTTTTGGTAAATCAGAGAGACAGAGATACAGAGAGAGAGAGGGAGAAAGTTTCTGCAGAGTTTGGTGCTTTTTTTTTTTTTTATTGTTTTGGAATTTGATGTGTTTGGCAAAGATCTGAATACCAAATAGGGTTGATTTATATTGAGTCACATACAATGTGTTGTTTGATTGATATTTTAAACTCAATTTCTCTATTAAATTTTATGTGTCATAATTATAGCTGGGTACTTTTATTAGATTGATTAATGTTTATTAGTTACTCATTGTACTTGTGTACGTCTATCTTAAACAACTGTATCATTTAATTGATAACTAATTATATTTGTGTTGTCCTATATTATTTGTTACAATTACTTTTAATCAATGTTGTTTTGGATACTATCCTAAGATATTTATTAATTATAAAATTAATAACAGTCGACAATTTATTGAAAATATGGATGTCTTAAAAAATGGCAACCTTAACGACACCTCTTCAACTCTGTTTCTGTTATAAAGTATTTCTCCTTAGAGAAAAATAAAATCTGTGAGAGTCAAATGGACCATTGAAATTTGCAGAGATGTGGTTGGTGGTATAAAGTTGGTGGGTCGTTTTTTTTTTTTTTTTTTTGGTAAATAAGGTGGGTGGTTTTAATTGTAGAGTAAGAATGCGGGAGTGAGGTTTTTGTTTTTTGGTTCATAATTATATCTTTATAGTTTGGACTTTAATTCTACCCTTTTTTTTTTTAAATGCTGGCGGCGCTCCAAGTGTTCAAAGAAAGATCAAACTCTTATGCATATGAAAGAAAGCTTGTTGGTGGGGTCACCACGCAAACATCTCATAACTCAAAACGTTTTTTTTTTTTAGATAATGTTACTAGAAAAGATCTAAAAAATTAAAAATAACTAATATTTTATTTATAGTCTATAAATTTACAAGAATGAATTTGTTAACAAGTACTAAAAATATCAAGAATAAAAATATCAAATTTAAAATGAAAATAATTCATATTTAAAAGTACAAGAATATTTTTAGTAATTTAAAATATTTAATAAAGACTATTCAATTATTAATAGCATATTTTCAGACACTATTAACAAGACTTGAAAAAGAATGATTAAATTGTTTCCAAAAAAAATGATTAAGTTGATTTTTTTAAAAATAAATTTTAGTATTTTACCTTTTCTTTCTTGAGTATACAAATTGAGATTTGAAACCTTTTTTCTTTTAAAATAAATTTACCATTTACATCAACACAGCCACACATATGATTTCAAAAAAACAATTGTCATTTAAGATGAGTCATCCATTTAATCCCCACTTTAAAATTGAACTAATATTCAATTTTGTTAGTGTATGATATTATTGTTGTATAAATGGTTATGAATAAATAGTTGGAAGAGTCACGTCTTTTCATTTTCGAATAGTCGTGTCTCTTCGTTTGCGAACAATCGTGCCTCTTCATTTTATTTTGTAACAGTTGTGTCTTTTTGTTTTTGAAAAGTCGTGCCTATTCTCATGTCACCATTCATCTCTTATAAATACTCGTGTTCTTGTAATAGCAAAAAAAATATTGGTTTGGCGTTAGTAACGCCACAATCATAAAAAGATAAAGAGAGAAAAAGTTGGCATATGTATCACCATAGTGACACCAATAGCGCCACACGAAAGCAACTTGGTAGAAGTCTTTGATTTTTTTTAGATTCGGATAAGATTGAGTCATATATTTTTAAAGATATTAACATATGACTTATGAGATAAGATATTGTTATTACTAATTAGTGCTACTACCAATATCACTACCAGTTTATTTTATTGTTAGATCGAGTATGTTGATCTAACAATTTATATTTATTTTTCATCTTTGTATGATTATGTTTCTCCGTATTTAATATGAAAGCAATAAATATGAAAAATCATAATCATACAAAAGTGGAAATAAATATAAAGTTTCAAATATAGAGAAGAAAGAAGGTTATTAGAAAGTTAAATAAAAAATGTTGTATCCACATAATCAATCTAACGGTGAAACAAATTGGTATTGACATTGGTAATAATACTAATTGGTATGCATACATATATATATATATATATATATATATACCCCTGACAAGAGAGAGAAAGCGCAAAAGTAGAGAAAACAAAACAAAACAAGGAAACGAAGAGGAAAGAAACGAAAGCGGTAAGAGAAAGAAGAAAAGAAAGAAAGAAATAGAGAGAGACGCATAGCAGAGAGAAAATCGAGAAAAAAATAGAAGAACGTGAGGAGAAAAATGAAATAGGAAGGTAATATTGGGAGAAAACCTCATTCTTTTATTTTAATTTTTCTTCATCTATTTTATATTTAAAGTTAGTATTTTGAAGATATTTCTTTAAAAGTTGTGAAGATGTAGTTTCTCTGTCAAATTATTATGAATTTATTCTACTCTTTTGGTTCATCTTCTATATTTGGTTTTGTGAAATTGATGAATGACTCTTATTGATTATTATAAGAATGATGAGAATTGTAACATCCCGGGCGTTTACAATGGTGGAGAGTGATCGCCGGTGCGAAAGGGCACAAGCAAAGAGCGGTTCCTGGAAGACTTCCAGCGACAGGGGTACATAAATGAATCGAATCAACACTTGAAAGAGAGGGATTCCAGAGACTGTGCTGGTATGGGACAATATAGTTGAGAATAACTTATAAGAATTAATTTGTACTACCTATACTAACAAGATGCATCTACTTTTCAGTAGCCCGGAACAAAAGAACTCCATAGTTAAGCATGCTTGACTTGGAGCAATTCTGATATGGGTGACCTCATGTGAAGTTTTCCCGGGAAGTATGCGAGTGAGGGAAAAGCACGCTGAAAAGTCTCGTGTTAGTGTGTGGGGACAGTCGTTGATCCTTGCAAGTTGCCAAGCGTTACAAGTGGTATCAGAGCAGGGTTTCTCTTCCAGTACGTTACAAGAATCAAGACTATAGAACTAAAGGATTCCTTTGGTACCAAATGAATATTAACAGAATATGTAATCTTTTACTGAATGATTCTGATGTGACTGACTCACAAATGTTTGGGATCATAATGGTTATAGGGTAAGGGACGTCTTATCATGGCTTGAGCTCCGCTACACAAAACCATTTACATACAAAATCCACAGAATTTGAGCATTAGTCATTTCAGTTAAAGACTACACATTTCTTTATATGTTTATATGCAGAAACCTACAAAGGTTTGAGTGTGTTTGTATGTAGAACCCACAAAAGGTTTGAGTATGTCTAAATAAGAACCGACAAAGGTCTGGCTTATATTTATTATTCATCATATTATTTTCCTGTTATAAACATATTTTGAGAGAATGATATTTCTCACTAAAGTAGTTGGATTGGTTATAGTTTGAAAATCCCAATGTTATTGAATTTATCTCACATTTTTTTATTTTTATGCTATCCTTTTCAGAGAATAAACAGGTCAGTATGTGTAGCTTTGGAGTAGGGTTAAAACACTATGGTTAAAGACTGTATGGAGATCAGTGAAATGATTGATAAAACCAAAAATATTTCTTTTTAGTTTAGATTACGATGTATTTCAGATGTAACAGTGAACTTGACTTCTGTATAATTAAATTTTAAAAATATTTTATCATATGCATTATATATTCGCTGCTTAGATTTAAAGGGTATTTCTTTTATAGCCGCTGCGTTATATATAAAATAAGATTTAAAAATTAATATGATATCATCTATGCTAGCCAGTTATAAGGGATTTTACATTTCTATAAACTCAAACACAAGTTTTCCCGATTCCTTACCAAAACTCTATCAAGACTAATCCTCACATATTGCCTTTATCTGTGATTGATCGGCATTTGTTGTGTTCGCTAGTGTTGTTTCTTCTAGTTGTGCCACCGTCGAAACAAAAGGTAACATGTTTTATCCTGGGAGGCATTTGTCCATGAACCTTAGGTACTGTTGAGGGGGCAAAATTATCTTAAGGATACAATATTCAATATTGAGATTAGGTATAATTTTCTACAATTTTTATACTTGCACATTGCATTCTAATTTTCTGTGATTGCTTGCAATTTTTTTTATTTTTGATATTTTCGTAACCAACAACACGAATTTTGCACTACCATCAATAACAATTATAACATTGTTAAACGATTATAATATAATTCATTAGGAATGATCTATTCACGAGGAATGAGGAATTTAATTAATTTGTATGAAGTTATAAGTTCAAACCTTAATATTATTATTTTATAAAAAAGAAATTATTAATTATTAATTTCTTTTTTTCATGTAATAATATAAATTTTGGGAAGAAATTAATTGCATGACAAACATAGACCACCAAAAAAAAATTCCATGACAAACATATATTAAGAAATAAAAACAATGTCTATTATTTATTTTAAAACAATAAATATTTATTGATTTTCATAATATTGAATTATTTTTTATTTAGCTATTATTATTTCTTATTTCTTAACATATGTTTTTATTAAGTGTTTAATATATTTTTCTACAAATATGAGATAATTTTATCTTATGGGAGTGGATGGAGCCCATTGAAGACGCAGCAGAGAAAGAGAAAAAAAAAGCTTTATTTACTTTTATATATATGCAATAAATAAAATTATTTTATTTTTACAAAAAAAATATTAAATAAAAAATATTTTCCTTATGAAGAAGTTTGGAAAAGTAATCTCATCTTTATTTTTCTGTTTTAAATAAATAAAAGGGTTAGGTGTTGGACAATGTTGATGAGTTGTTGGCCTTACTTGGAGCACAAGAGTCAAAGAATTCAATGAATGGGACATTAAACAAAGCATTTATTTTAGGGCCAATTTGCACGAAGCACGGTAATGAACGTTGGACGACATGGCATCGTCAAAGTGTGGTAAAAGACTGAAACAGTTCAAAAATAAAAGTGTAAATATTTTTTTTGGTCTTCAGCAAATTTTACGATGTTCGCTTTAGTCTCTAGTAAATAAAAAGGTCCATCGTGATCTCTAAAAAATTTAAAATGAACCCATTTTAATCCTTTTAGAGACTAATATGAATCTTTTTTGAATTTGTGAAGGATCATAATTTCAACTAAATGGATCCATTTTAAATTTCTAAGAGACTACGATGAACCTTTTTATTTATTAGGGACTAAAACGAACGTCATAAGATTTGCTGAGGACCAAAAAGTATATTTACTCAAAATAAAATTTGAAAAATTTGAAAAATTGATACCCCAAGTTTTCTAGGAACTAGGGAAGCCATACTAATTGAGATGTGACGCTGAAGGAAGGCAATTTGTCAGAGTGCGATAACAAACGTTGGATCACTTGTGCGGTAAAAGACAAAAGGAGTTATAGAAAAGAAAAATTTTAATTTGAAAAATTTTACACCCCAAATAGCACCAGCTTTTCTAGGAACTAGGGAAGTACCATTATGAAATGTAGACTCGCCAGATTACATTATGAAATTGGTTGAAGAGCCTAATCAATTTTGAGAAAACGGATTGGTTCTTAAACCAATTCGAAATGGATAAGAAAAAAGCAAAAATATTCATTCAAATACTTGAATTTGAATGAAATTGTTTCAATATCATTCATTTACATTTTTTTTTCAATGGGGAACAAGAGAAATACAGATTTTAATGAAAAAGTTAGGAAAAAAGAAAAAATATTCATCAAAATTTCTATATCACCATTTCCATTATTTTGTTCAATGGATCATTTCCATTATTTTGTTCAATGGGAACAAGAGAAATACAGAATTTAATGGAACAGTATTGTTCATTTGAAACATAACAAGAAAAGGAAAAGGGTGGAAGGAAAGTAACTGAAGAACAAAAACGTAAAAAGAAACAGAAACATAAGAGGGATTTCAGAATCCTAGAAACAATCTCCCATCCCCCCCAGTGCAAGAGCAACCTAAGTTGCTCTCATATGTGCATTTTCTTAACCCAATTCGGAAAGTCAAATGTTGTTGTTAGTAGCTATATGGACTGCTACAATGGGTTCTCCAGAAGAAAAAGTGCTGGTTCACATCTTGCAGTATAGCTATGTTTAGATGAGCAGTACTTCCTATGTACCCCTGTAAGTTTCCCTGTCCCAGCCTTCTGGTGAAAATCAACTATTAAACTAGAGCACTCTCTGTGTATGTCACACAAATAAGATAAGATAAACACACATCAGAATTTAACATATGTCAAGCTAATGGATAATTGGAACATGAAAAAGTACTGAGCTGAATGTGCTTACAATAGCTGATCTTCTGAATAGTTGGTGTGCCATTCACATGTCTTACTCCACTGTTTGAAACCATGGATACTGCATTGAGCCGTGTAAACTGCAGCTGCAGCTAGTTGAGATGGAGGGAACTTCACCATCTCATATTCCACTAGAGATAGCTCCACCAAGAAGAAAGCTAGTAGCTCAAGCTGTTCCATGGTGAGGAATGAAGTAAAAAAAAGTTAGTAATTTGCAGGTTATGGTAAAAGCATGCAAAAAATCCATTGGAAATATTTGGCAGCAATATGAATACTGACTTTTCTATTTGCTTGAGCTGCCTTTAGGAACCTTCTTATAAAAACATATGCTGTTGGCACAGACATTTTAAACTGCAATGTATTGACCATCAACTTCTCCTGCAAGGTTTACAAAATGTCTTAGTTACTTACTTGTCATACATATTGAGTGGTTCCCCAAATGCAAAAGTGTTACAGGTATGTCAATAAAGCAAACAAATGTTACCATTTCCAGAACTTCCTTCCTTGTATATGCTTTGTCTGATATCAGAATTAGATCCCCAACCACAGGTAGTGAGACTTCCTCATACTTGCATGCCAAAAGCATGGCAACCAGACCCACCAACTGAAGCTTCTTTCTTACCACTGTAGACTTCTCCAAAAATCTGTCTATAACATTAACCGTAAGAAACAATGTCTCGTGCATGAGGTCAAATTTGTCGTGCACCTGAGGGTTCAAAACAAGCATATCAATATTTACAAAACAAAATCAATGGTAATTATATTTGATCAAGTAGGTCAACTATTAGCATTTTCTTGGCATAGTGATTCAGGAGAGAACATTTAATATACCTCAATAAGCCAGTCAATCAGTATAGCCCTCATCCTTCCATTAATGTCAGGTTGTTGTGCCATATAATTCGGTGAGACACAGCTAGTCCTCTGCATGCAGCTAATGCTGTTAGTAATCAAAATTTTATACGAAGACATTCCATATTAGTTAGCATTCTCAAATCAATTTTGATTTCCAAAATTTAAAGTGAAATCTGCTCTAATTGCTCTAATTGGTTTTTGAGTACAATTTTTTTACACTAACTCAACTCAGTGAAATATTGTTTGCAAGTTATAATAGAAAAATAGGGAAATGTCTTCATAAAAATAGGACAATAGTTAATGGAAAATATCCAACTCAACAGTATTAGATCATCATAGTTTAATTTGCTTTGCTTATTCAAACACTATTGCATGCCTACATGAGAAAATAGACTCTTGCTTTAGTAGAAAATACACTTGGTGAATATTGATTGCAAGTTATAATAGAAAAATGGGGAAATGTCTTCATAAAAATAGGACAATAGTTAATGGAAACTATCCAACTCTACAGTATTAGATCATCATAGTTTAATTTGCTTTGCTTATTCAAACACTAGTGGATGCCTACATGAGAAAATAGACTCTTGCTTTAGTAGAAAATACACTTGGTGAATATTGTTTGCAAGTTATAATAGAAAAATGGGGAAATGTCTTCATAAAAATAGGACAATAGTTAATGGAAACTATCCAACTCTACAGTATTAGATCATCATAGTTTAATTTGCTTTGCTTATTCAAACACTAGTGGATGCCTACATGAGAAAATAGACTCTTGCTTTAGTAGGAAATACACTTGGTGAATATTGTTTGCAAGTTATAATAGAAAAATGGGGAAATGTCTTCATAAAAATAGGACAATAGTTAATGGAAACTATCCAACTCTACAGTATTAGATCATCATAGTGTAATTTGCTTTGCTTATTCAAACACTATATTGCATGCCTACATGAGAAAATAGACTCTTGCTTTAGTAGAAAATGCAAGTTTTGGTGTATATGGGCATCGATCAATGAGCAATTAGGACATGGGAGATGAGACTTCAGATGCAGCACACTCAAAGTTCAGTTGACAAATTAGAATTACATTTCAAATGATCAGATAAGTGTTCCAAACTCTTCATTCCAAATGTACCTCGTTTTTTCTGTAGTTGGTAAAAAGATCTTCAATGTAGTCCACCACTGCAAGAGGATTATTTGCATCACAGACATCAATGTCCAAAACAGGCTCTTCAATTATATCCTCCATCTGAATTTCATCCTAATAGTCATTATTGCACCGATTAAAGTTTGAAATAGATTTTAGGGACAAAAAATTTATAAAAAAAAAACAGAGACATAAATGAAATACCATCTGATCTGGTTCACTATGCCCTTCTAAAAACATGGGCACTGGCTGGTCTTCCCTTGGCTTGTGTTCATCATCGATAAATATACACTCTCCAAATCCATTCGAATTTGAAATTGTCAAGTCTGACCTCTTGGTTTCCTGTTCACATCGACCCCATCACTAAAAAATCTTAGTTTCCATAGTTAAGATTCTGTCTGTGCAGTGCAGCAAATTTCACAGAAGGAAGAAAAAATCTACCTCAGCACGAGATTGCTGTGTGCTAGCAATTTGTGCAGCAAACCTCCTAAAACAACAGTAAATCAAGATGAATCCATCACATTAAAACTTGTATGGAAATAAATTAAAATACCATTATTCCTCCATTTGGTCACTAAGAAAAGAAAAAAAAAAACAAAATAGTGATACGTAGTGAAATGCATTTCAATTTCAAAATTTGAATATTTTTCTCACATTTTTTATTGCATCCACCAAAAAAAAAAACCTTTCTTTCTCACTTTCAAAAGTGTCATTTCCTCACCTGGTGATGGGTCGATGCACTGGATCCGCCTGCTTCTTTTCACAAACATCATGTTTTCTGTGTGCCCACAAATCGAAAACCAAACAATCAACATTTGAAACCAAAAAAGACAAGAAATTTACACGAAAAAAGACAAGGGTATGGTCAAAGGAGAAAATTACTCTGACAAAACCCTCTTGTTAACAACGCAAGGGTAACGTCGATCTTCCACCAGATTCTGATTTATTACACTTAACGCTCTTCTGGTCTGCACAACCTTTCTGGTACCCATATAATCTAACCCTCCTATTACAAAAAAAAAGAAAAAAAGAAAAAAAGAAAAAAAGAAAAAGATGATACCACCCATGTTAAAATCATCATCTTCAATCTTGGCAGCAACATTGAATCTCAAAATTTCAGTTAACCCAATAATGATTATACCTTGAAAATTTGCTGGATTAACGGCGTTAGAAATGTTGTCATCAGAATTCGCCATTTTAAATTTTTTTTTTCTTTTGTTGATGAAGAACAATTACTCTCACCCTCAAAAAAAAAAAAATTAAAATCCTATAAGAAGGACATTCAATTCAATCTTAAAGCAAAGAAGGGTAGAAGATGATATGGGGAGGAGAAGGAAGTGGCAGAGAATAGCGTTATCACTGCACACTAGTACACTGAAAAGAACTAAAATCATGGGGTATTTGTTTTGAAAATTCAACGGCTAGTCATTCCTGACCGTTGGATCAATATTGAGAGGCTGGCAAGACCATTACATTATTTTCTATTTCAATGTTGTCTGTCCTTTGTACTGATTCCTCAAAGTCCTGATAACGGTAATAACATGGTTACCATGTGAAGAAACGTGTCATTACAGCCACCCACCCCATATGCTTTTTTTCAAATCACAATTTCCTTTACTAATAACTTTGTTGAACTTTTAATTTAAGGTAAATTAATATAGGGAATATGTTTCTTTGCGTTGTATCAAAGTATAAGATAATTTTATTTTACCCAGCTAGCTCAGTTGGTAACTTGACGCTGAGTTAGTGGGGTTGGATATGTGTTCGATTCCCGCTGAATGCATTCTTGGGAGGGGGCTGAACCTTTAGCCATCACTGTTCCTCCGCACTCCGGATTAGTCCCATAGCCGGCTCAAAGAGTCGAAGCTCGTGGGGATACCGGAGGGAGCCAACTCGTCTCAAAGAGATAATTAGGGTTGAGTAACTCAAAAAAAAAGATAATTTTATTTTATACAATATAAAAAAAGTAAGTGAAATTATTAAGGAGAAGAGAGGAAAAAAGAAGTGAATCTTACTCACTTTTTGTACGTGAATAAAATAAAATTATCTCATATAATATGAGAGACATATTTCTCGATTAATATTGACATTATAATTCTCATATCTATACTCATCCGAATGCCAAAAAGATGTTTGTATTAATTTTTCATCAAATATTTATTCATCCAAATTTAATATGCTAATTTTTTTAAAAAATATATATATATGAAAAAAAGCCAAAATCTAAAGTCTGAACCTAATCATTGGCTTGATATTGGCCTTCTTTACTGCAGTTTTCTCCTTCTATTTAATCTTTATATGGTAACAGTGCGCTCCAATCTGCGCTCTACCGCACTCTTGAGCTTTTTTTTTTTTTTTTCCAAAGAAAAATGCGTATGTGAACATGAATGCATTAATTAGAAAATTTCAATCGAAGAATAAAAAAGGTTGAATCCTGAATATCAATTTATGGATAACTAGTGAATTACCTGTGCGTTGCACAGAGGAAAAAAAAAATCACGAACTTACATTTTTTATCCTTCAATATAAAAGGAATGAATGAGTAATAATGTACAAATGAAAGTACGAAAGAAAAAGACACACGACGCTTCAAAAACAGAACTTGTCAAAACCTTTTGTAAACTTGATCTGGGTTGTAGTACGCCTCATCTTCTTCTTCTTCTTCACTGCCATTGACCCTAACTCGGTGAAGGAAAGCTTGGCATTTGTGACCCACTCCAATGGTCCCAGCGCGAACTTATCTAGCGAAACACGCTCGTAGACATAATTTGATTCGGCTAGATAATAAAATTCCCAGCAATAAAGCTTCACGTTAGTTATGTCCTCAATTGAAGGAGACGCCACCTTTCCAAATATCTGCAGCAACACATCCGACGGCAGATGTTTCAGGGAATCTCCACCGGTGATCTCCATTTTCATTCGCTTCTGTGACGATGAAGCAGGCATGGTAAGATATGAGAATGAACAATTTTGGATGAAAAATTCACGGAACATGAGACGATTACAAAAAAACAAAAGACCCTGTCATATATAATGACGCTGAAGAGATACACAGCCAAACGATTAAGGGCGAAGGATAATAACTTATGTTTTATCACTCCTGGCTTGAATCAAGGATAATATAAATACAAAGTTTAAATTTTTTATACAAAAACACACTTTTTAGTTGTTATACACGTATTTTTTTGGATAAAAAATAGGTACTTTGAATTTTTTTAAACTAACTGTCTTTTTGAATTCCAATGATAAAAGCTTAGTCAAAATTCGAACTTGAAATTTAAAAAATAGAAAAAAAAATTTGAATTAAAATATTTTTTTTATTATGATTATTCTATCATAACATGTTTTTAGTATTGATAGACGTTATTTATTTATTTTTTTGGATAAAAGGAGACAGACTTTGAATTACAATGATCAAAGGTTAATAAAATTTGAAACTTAAATTTATAAAATAAGAAACATTAAATTTGAATCAAAGTTACTTATTTCGTCACATTAAAAATAGGAAAGAAAAAATCAGATTAAAAAAGACATACTTTGAATGCTAATTATCAAATCATAACATGTTTTTAATTATTTTTTTAGGAAATACATGTTTTTGTAGTTGTCCTTTTTAGGATAAAAAAAGACATACTCAGTATTCCAAAGGTCAAGGTTGATAAATTATGAAACTTGAAATTTGTATATAAAATGTGTTTAGCAGTTACAGACGTAATTTTTTGTTTATTCGGATTAAAAAAAACAAATGTTGAATTCCAGTAATCAAAGCTTAAAAGATCATTCAAACTTTAAATTTCTAAAATCAGAAAACAAAAAAATGAATAAGAAGAATTTATTTTCTGGTCATGATTATTGTTTCATAATATGCTTCTTTATTAGGAAACAAATGAATTTTTTATTTATTTATTCTGGATAAAAAAACACATACTCAGTATTCAAGGCTGATCAAATCTTAATAAAATATAAAAACTATAAATTTTTAAAGTAGGAAACAAAAATTCAAAAGTAAAAGTTCAATTTTTATTTTATTTTTTGGATATAAAAGAGATACTTTGAATTCCAGTGATAAAAAGTTTAATAAATTTTGAAGTTGTAAATATTAAAAATAAGAAACATAAATTTGAAAGAAAAGTACTTATTTTGTTTCATTAAAACAGGAAACAAATTTTAGCAGTTTACCTTTGTTTGTTGTTGGATCAAAAAGACATTTTTTGAATAAGAATAAGGGAACACAGCAATAGATAACATAACATGACACAGATGAACAACTTAAGTTGGTATTGCAAAAACACAACAAATATATCAACATACATTTGATTGCGCGTGCAGGTATTGTTTTGAATTAAACACAACAAAACATCAGAAAACACCCTGAACTGTCTCCAAGAAACATTGTGTATTTTTTAACTCCAACAAAAAAACCACACTTCAGTAAAGATCTTGTCTCCAAGACACAAAAAAACCACTCTTCAGACATAGTGTGCTGATCTACGAGGTATTATCATCTGCTTCTGCATTAAATCTATTTAAAAAAAAGAAAAAAAAAGAAATTAGCATTGAAAAAGGGCAAAAAAAGAGAAAAAAGAAAGCCAGTAATCAACATTGAAAATGATATAAGCATATGACGTAAAGAGATCTAGCAATGGAATCATATCAGCACATGATATTACGAAAAGGAAAAAAAACAAAGTATACATAAGTGATAGACTTGAAGTATGGTTGCTGAAAAAAAATAAAAGTAGCATTGTAAAAAGGAAAAAAAAACATAAGTGACAGACTTCTTTTTTTATAAAAGGAAAACAGAAAGACAGTATTCAGCATTGAAAATGATGTATAAGCGTATGACGTGAAGAGATATAGCAATGGAATCATATCGGCACATGATGTTACGAAAAGGAAAAAAACAATATACATAAGTGACAGACTTCAAGTATGCTTGCTGAAAAAAAAAGAAATTAGCATTGAAAAAGGGGAAAAAAAAGGAAAGAAAAACATAAGTGACATACTTCTATTTTTATAAAAGGAAAAAAGAAAGACAGTAATCAGCATTGAAAATGATGTATAAGCATATGACATAAAGAGATATAGCAATGGAATCAGATCGGCACATGATGTTACGAAAAGGAAAAAAAACAATATACTAAGTGACAGACTTCAAGTATGCTTGCTGAAAAAAAAGAAATTAGCGTTGAAAAAGGGAAAAAAAAGGAAAGAAAAACATAAGTGACATACTTCTATTTTTATAAAAGGAAAAAAGAAAGACAGTAATTAGCATTGAAAATGATATATAAGCATATGATGTAAAGAGATCTAGCAATGAAATCAGATCAGCACATGATATTATGAAAAGGAAAAAAAACAAAGTATACATAAGTGATAGACTTTAAGTACGGTTGCTGGAAAAAACAAAGTAGCATTGTAAAAAGGAAAAAAGAAACATAAGTGACAGACTTCTATTTTTATAAAAGGAAAACAGAAAGACAGTAATCAACATTGAAAATGATATATAAGCATTTGTGCATAATAAGATCTAGCAACAGAATCAGATCAGAACATGATATTACGAAAAGAAAAAAAAAATTACATAAGTCACAGACTTCAAGTATGCTTGCTGAAAAAAAAAACAAATTAGCATTGAAAAACGGAAAAGAAGGAGACAGACTTCTATTTTTAAAAAAGGACAAAAATCAGCATTGAAAAAAAAATATAAGCATATGACGTAAAGAGCTCTAGCAATGGAATCAGATCAACACATGATATTACGAAAAAAATATAGATTTGAAAATACGTAACTCTTTTTCAAGCTTTATCTTCTTGGCTGTTCGAACAGCTGAAAAATTGAATTCTCCAGCAATGGGATCATAAGAATGGGTCAATGGTGTCAACATTGTGAGAGAGATATCACCAACGTCAGTACTATCACAGGTCTGACTCTCAACATCCTATTAATACTTCGGTAAAAAAAAAAAAAACGAAGGTATGTCAAGTATGGA